TGCACACACACTACACACACACTGCACACACACGCACACACACTGCACACACAGGCCTCCCCCCTCCTCTCTCTGTGCGCGTGGACCCCTGTGGACACGAGCCTGTGTGTGAGTGTGCCTGCCTGTCTGCCACGCGCTGCTGCACACGCGCATTCATCAATTTCGCAAACCCTACGCATAACTAGGGTTTAGATGAGCGCATCAGCCGCCGCCCCTGTGGCCCCCTTGCAATGGAGAAAGCCCTCAAAATCAGAGAGTATAGGGTTTAGGGTTTAGGGTTGCGAGCTTAGACGCGCTGGGGAAGGGACCGTCTTCAAATCAAATCGCACAGATCTCCGCAGAGAGGCTCACAGGAAGGCCATTCACGCAGTCAGGAGCAGCCAGAATATCAAACAAGCTGACATTTCTCTCTGTGTCCGTGTCTGTCTGTGTGTGCAGGCCGAGATGGCGTGCTGTGCCAAGACCCCGAGGCTCGTTTGAATGTCAGAGGATTGCTCTCGATGAAGGCTTTGCACTGTGCCGGTTGATGCACAGCGGAACTTCTCTCTGACCACCGTCCCTCTCCCAATTTTGTCCATCTCTGCAGGCCCGTGGTTCGCTCTGTGGGTATTGCCCGGCCCATTCAACACACGCATCAGATGCACCCTTGAGTTGGCAACACAGGTGCCGAGAGAGAGGGGCAGGTCAGCAAAACTGACGACGCTACGCAACCGAACAAAAATGTCACCATCTTGGCATTTTTGACCGTAGGATGACCCTTGACGGCCACCTGCAGGCCGACAGACGACTGATAGACAAGAACCAAGACCACTCCTGGCCTGGTGCGGAAACTGTCAAAACAACCCTTTTATAACCGACTTCTTTTCTCTGACCTACTTGGCCCAGTGGGTGGGTGGGCGGGCAATCAATCAATCTACCCCCAGGTAGGTACATACACCCTCCACACACTGGCCTACACACCCACTCTCCCTCTGTGTGTGTGTGTGTGTGTGTGTGTGTGTGGTCAGGTGAGGAATGACGCCGACGAGCGTCAGGTGCGTCAGACGCTGGAGGTCATGGGGGCGTACCACAGGGGACTCAGACCACACGTAAGCATGCGACGGAGGATTCAGGCAGGACACACACGCCCTGCTGACCGACCGCTGGACTGACCTTTCGCGTGACTGTCTGTCTGCCTGTCTGTCTGTCTGTCTGTCTGTCTGTGTGTCTCATGTGCAGCGTGTGATGTTTTGCGGGTCGACTGCTGGCCGGGCGTCGATGGTGCGGCAACTGCAGCCCATGACACACATCGAGAGTAAGCCGTGCCGTATCCAATCCACAGCTGCATTGCAAGTGTGACACACATGACACGCGCTCTTTGCCCTGCTTGGTTGAGTGCTCATCAGGCAATCCCGAGATCCTCTCGGCCGTGAAGGGTACACACAGGCAACTCCACTGACAGGCCACCGTCATCACATGTCATTCACATTACCAAACAGCACACCACGGTGTGTGTGTGTGTGTGTGTGTGTGGCTGCATTGCCATCACTCAGGCAAGGTGCCCAATGTGGTGCACGTGGGCAGCGTAGACGAGCCGAGGTCAGCAGCAGCAGCAGCTGGTGCACCCTCACCCGACTTCAGCTCCCTGGCAGTGAGGCCCGACACACAGCAAGGCACCTACCCCACCCGTCCGTCGACCCCCCACATTATAATGCCATCTCACGTCTGTGGTGTCTGTCTGTCTGTCTGTCAGGACTGCTTGGAGGTGCTCAAGGCCGTGGTGGCTTCGTGACGAGCAGCCTTGTGCGAGTGTGTGTGGGTGTGGGTGTGGGAGTGGATTGGCGTGTAGTTTTGTCTCTCTTCTGTACAGCCGGGATGGACGGACGGATGGAGGGATGGCATATTTGTTTGTGACCGACCTGTCAAACCATCTGGCCTGCAGGCCTGGCCTGTTTGTGCAAGGTAACCACCAGCCAGCCAGCCAGCCAGCCATGTCTGTCATTCAATTAGATTGATTACTGTCCAGCCCCACACTGTCTGTCCGTCTCACCCCATTTATTCATCCAGGACCCACTCGCCCGCCCATGTGACTGGCATGCACACCACACCACACCACCCCCCTCACAAAAGTTCCCCATCCCCGCATAGC